TAGATGTCGTCGTGGTCGTAGTTCACTAGTTCAGTTTGTAGATGTCGTGGTCGTAGTTCACTAGTTCAGTTTGTAGATGTCGTTTCGTCGTCGTAGTTCACTAGTTCAGTTTGTAGATGTCGTTGTCGTGGTTGTAGTTCACTAGTTCAGTTTGTAGATGTCGTGTCGTTGTCGTTGTAGTTCACTAGTTCAGTTTGTAGATGTCGTTGTCGTGGTCGTAGTTCACTAGTTCAGTTTGCAGATGTCGTGGTCGTGGTCGTAGTTCACTAGTTCAGTTTGTAGATGTCGTTGTCGTGGTCGTAGTTCACTAGTTCAGTTTGTAGATGTCGTCGTGGTTGTAGTTCACTAGTTCAGTTTGTAGATGTCGTTGTCGTGGTTGTAGTTCACTAGTTCAGTTTGTAGATGTCATTGTCGTGGTCGTAGTTCACTAGTTCAGTTTGTAGATGTCGTTGTCGTGGTCGTAGTTCACTAGTTCAGTTTGTAGATGTCGTGGTCGTGGTCGTAGTTCACTAGTTCAGTTTGTAGATGTCGTTGTCGTGGTCGTAGTTCACTAGTTCAGTTTGTAGATGTCGTTGTCGTGGTTCACTAGTTCAGTTTGTGCGTAAGGTGTGGGTCTGTCTCTCTGTAATCATGGATCTGTAATAAACCTGGATAAGCCCCGCCCCCTCTGTCTCTAGTGGTCGCTCTAGGTACTGCAGACAGATTCTCCCACAGAGGAAACGCACTTTGGGAATTGAACCTGCTCGTGTTCAGGGCGTCCGGCTTCACAAAGGTTGAAACTTTTTTCAGTCATAAAGTGTCTTTGTCTCGCTCTCGCTCAGCGTCTTCTTGGATTCAGCGTCAGATTTGATAATAGTTCTACGCTCCTCTCTCTTTAACACAGAACTCTCATCAAACCTGAAGATGAACACAAGCTGCGCCGTGTTGTTTTCAGAGTCTGTGTCTTTGGCTCATGGGCACAAAAATAATTTTCTCTTCCACATTCACTTCCGAGTGAGCTCCTCCCACTGTGTGATGTCTGTAAAATGCACGGCGTGGAGCATTTGGACCAATCAAAGCGCAATGTGAAGCGTCTGAACCAATCAAAGCACAGTGTGAAGCGTTTGGACCAATCAGAGCACGGTGTGGGGCGTTTGGACCAATCAGAGCGTAACGTGGAGCGCTTGGACCAATCAGAGCGTAGCGTGGAGCGTTTGGACCAATCAGAGTGTAGAGTGGAGCGTTTGGACCAATCAGAGTGTAGAGTGGAGCGTTTGGACCAATCAGAGCGCGGCGTGGGGCATTTGGAACAATCAGAGCGTAGCGTGGAGCGTTTGGACCAATCAGAGCGTAGCGTGGAGCGTTTGGACCAATCAGAGCGCGGCGTGGGGCATTTGGAACAATCAGAGCGTAGCGTGGAGCGTTTGGACCAATCAGAGCACGACGTGGAGCGTTTAGACCAATCAAAGCACGGCATGGAGCGTTTGGACCAATCAGAGCACGATGTGGGGCATTTGGACCAATCAGAGCGTAGTGTGGAGTGTTTGGACCAATCAGAGCGTGGCGTGGAGCGTTTGGACCAATCAGAGCGCGGCGTGGAGCGTTTGGACCAATCAGAGCGCGGCGTGGAGCGTTTGGACCAATCATAACGTGGCATGGAGCGTTTGGACCAATCAGAGCACGGCGTGGAGCATTTGGACCAATCATAACGTGGCATGGAGCGTTTGGACCAACCAGAGCATAGTGTTGAGCATTTGGACCAATCAGAGCGCGGTATGGAGCGTTTGGACCAACCAGAGCGTGGCGTGGACCGTTTGGACCAATCAGAGCATAGCATTGAGCATTTGGACCAATCAGAGCGCGGCATGAAGCTTTTGGCCCAATCAGAGCGTAGCGTGGAGCGTTTGGACCAATCAGAGCAGCGAGGCTCAGTCTGACAAAGATCATTTCAGGAGCCACGAGGATTTAAACATTTTAAAAAGTTTATGTTGTGAAAATAGAAAAGAATCCTGCAGAATCGGAAGAACACGAGCAGGTTCAATTCCCAAAGTGCGTTTCCTCTGTGGGAGAATCTGTGTGCAGTACCTGGAGCGACCACTAGAGACAGAGGGGGCGGGGCTTATCCAGGTTATTATAGATCTGTACCTGCTCCTAAGAACAAACCTATCAGGCGCCTTCTTTCCCTGAAGCCCCTCCCACAAGCGTTAGGAAGAGGTTTGATTGACAGCGCTGATAAGGGAAGGGGCGTGACCTCCGACAGCCGGCTCCTGATTGGCTCTTCAGTTGCTATGATACTGAACATTAAAGAAACGTTTCAAAGTCGGGTCTGGTTTTACCTCGAGCAGTTCGTCTCCGACCCGGATCCGTCCATCTTTGGCCGCGGCGCCTCCGGGACTCAGACCCACCACGAACACGCTCAGTCTGGACCGGTCCCGGTTCCCGGCCAGACTCAGTCCAAGTCCGGTCCGGTCTTTCTCCAGGTCCACACAGAACAGCTCCCCAGGAAGATCCGCATAACGCTCTGAAAGAAAAACCAGAACTGAACCAGGACTAGACCAGGACTAGACCAGGACTAGACCAGGACTAAACCAGGACTGAACCAGGACTGAACCAGGACTGGACCAGGACTGGACCAGGACTAGACCAGGACTAGACCAGGACTAGACCAGAACTAAACCAGGAATAGACCAGGACTAGACCAGGACTGACCAGGACTAACCAGGACTAGACCAGGACTAGACCAGAACTAAACCAGGAATAGACCAGGACTAGACCAGGACTAGACCAGGACTAGACCAGGACTAGACCAGGACTGGACCAGGACTAAACCAGGACTGAACCAGGACTGAACCAGGACTAAACCAGGACTAAACCAGGACTAGACCAGGACTGAACCAGGACTGAACCAGGACTAAACCAGGACTAAACCAGGACTGAACCAGGACTAAACCAGGACTGAACCAGGACTAGACCAGGACTAAACCAGGACTAGACCAGGACTGAACCAGGACTGAACCAGGACTGAATCAGGTCTAAACCAGGTCTAAACCAGGACTAGACCAGGACTAGACCAGGACTGAACCAGTACTAAACCAGGACTAGACCAGGATTAGACCAGGAATAGACCAGGACTGAACCAGGACTAAACCAGGACTAGACCAGGACTGAACCAGGACTAGACCAGGACTAGACCAGGACTAGACCAGGACTAGACCAGGACTGAACCAGGACTAAACCAGGTCTAAACCAGGTCTAAACCAGGACTAGACCAGGACTAGACCAGGACTGAACCAGGACTAAACCAGGACTAGACCAGGATTAGACCAGGACTGAACCAGGACTGAACCAGGACTAAACCAGGACTAGACCAGGACTAAACCAGGACTGAACCAGGACTGAACCGGGACCGGACCAGGACTAGACCAGGACTGGACCAGGACTGGACCAGGACTGAATCAGGTCTAAACCAGGTCTAAACCAGGACTAGACCAGGACTGAACCAGGACTAAACCAGGACTAGACCAGGATTAGACCAGGACTGGACCAGGTCTAAACCAGGTCTAAACCAGGACTAGACCAGGACTTGTTTCGGTCTAAATTACATGTGACAGTGTAAAATTGTCTTTCTCTGTTCGTCCAATCAGAACGAAGCTCTGTGTCTTTAAGCGTCTGATTGGTCGATTTGTTCTGCTGCTGTTTCACGCTTCAGCTCCGTCCTCTTCGTCTTCATCACCCCTTCGTCTTCATCACCCCCTCGTCTTCATCACCCCCTCGTCTTCATCACCCCCTCACCTTCAAGTCCTGGTCTAGACCCGCTCTAGTCCTGGTCTAGTTCTGGTCTAGTCCTGGTCTTGTCTCAGTCTTTTCCTGTGACAGTCGATCCTAAAGGTTTTTATGTCACTCGTCTTTTCTCTCATCCCTCCTTCCTCCATCCTCCTCATCCTCTCTCTCCCTCAAATGTCACTTTCTCCTTTTCTTCTCCCTTCCTTTTTTCTTTTCTTCTCTTTTTTCTCCCTCCTTTCTCTCAAACATCACTTTCTCTTTTTCCTCTTTTCTGCTCCTTCCCTTTTTCCTTTTGCTTCTTCCTTCCTTCCTCCTCCTCCATCTCTCTTTCTCTCAAATGTCACTTTCTCTTTTTCTTCTCTCTTTCTTTCTTTCGTCAGTTTCTCTTTTTCCTCTTTTCTTTTCTAAATGTCGTCTCCATCCGTCGTTCTGCTCCAGTCTGAGGAAAAACTCCCCGACCCTGTGACTGTGTCAGTGTGTGAAATGTCCCACAGTGGAGCTTTAACCCTGATTGTCAGATTTCACAGTAAAACCACAGACAAAATAACACATTTAAACTTTTATAATCATAATAAAAATATAAACAATATAAATAACAATAATAATAATGTTTATAGCTGCAAGCGGCGATGATCGGCCCTCGCTGGCACTCGTATCTCTCACAGGTTCTTTTCTCTAGCCCAGTTGGGCTGTGGACCTGTCACACATTAGGGTTGGGTGTTATCAAAATTTTGATACCCTGAAACCGTCTCTGGATTTTACCGGAGTGTACGGTATTACCCTATTACCAAAATGTTTTTGTACGACTTTAGTAAACTAGGAAGCCGCGCCGCTGTACTTTGAGGTTGTGTCTGTTTTAAAAGTTTCATAAATGAAAATGTGGCAAAATTGGACGTCTACATGTGACGACATTATAACATTTGTCACATGATTAATCCAAGACGGCCGACTTCCAGTTTGGGAGGGGGCGTGGTCACAATTTATACAGACGATTTTTTAACAAAACAAAGTCCTCTCTGTTTGTGGAGATCTGAACTGGGCCTTCAACAAAACCAAGAGAACTAAAAAACAGAACAACAGAGAATCAGAACCAGGAGAAAGGAGGAACTGTTCCGTACATGACTGGTGTTTCTGAAAAACTACAGAGGATTTTCAGACAACATGAAATCCAAGTCTATTTCAAATCTACGAACACTTTAAGACAGAAACTGGTCCAACCAAAGGACAAAACACTGAGACACAAACAAAACAAAGTGAAGACTGAAGTGACACTGGAGAAACTAAACAGACACTTCACAAGAACCAACACAGACGAGAAAACAACACAGGACCTCAGTCTGATGTTCATCTCCACTTAAAAACCACAGGTCACTCATTTGAGGACAGAGACGTACTGATTTTTTTCTTTAGTCCAGTTTTAGACCCGGGTTTAGTCCCACTTTAGTTCTTGCTTTGTCTTGGTTTAGACCTGGTTTAGTTCTACTTCAGTCCTCATTTAGTCCTGGTTTAGTCCCTGGTTCAGTCCTGGTTTAGTCCAGGTTTAGTCCCTGGTTTAGTCCTGGTTTAGTCCCTGTTTTAATCCTGTTTTAGTCCTTGTTTAGTCCTTGTTTCGTCCTGGTTTATTCCTGGTTTAGTCCTGGTTCACTCCAGGTTCACTCCAGGTTCAGTCCTGGTTTAGTCCCTGTTTTAGTCCTGTTTTAGTCCTAGTTTAGTCCTTGTTTCGTCCTGGTTTAGTCCTGGTTTAGTCCTGGTTTAGTCCTGTTTTAGTCCTGTTTCAGACCTGGTTTAGTCCCTGGTTTAGTCCCTGGTTCAGTCATGGTTTAGTCCAGGTTTAGTCCCTGTTTTAGTCCTGGTTTAGTCCCGTTTTAGTCCTTTTTTTAGTCCTTGTTTAGTCCTGGTTCAGTCCTGTTTTAGTCCTGGTTCAGTCCAGGTTTAGTCCAGGTTTAGTCCCTGGTTTAGTCCTGGTTTAGTCCTGTTTTAGTCCTGGTTCAGTCCTGGTTTAGAGAAAAGAACTGGTTTGAGAGGAGAGTAAAAGAAGCTGTTTTTGTTCAGAAACAGAATCCTTCTCTAAACAGATAAACCATCTGTCTCCTGTTTCCACGTCCATCCTCAAACCTCAAACCTCAAACCTCAAACAAACAAGAACAACAGGAGGATCCAGGTCCGGTCCAGACGTGTGGAGGCTCCATTTTGACCATGAACTGTTCTGACCCCCACACCCTGTACAGGTCAACAGGCCCAACCAACAAACACAAACTGTAAACAAGTGTGTGTGTTAGTTCCAGAGTAGTTTCAGTGTAGTTAGCTCCTCCTGCAGACAGATATAAGTGTCACCAGCGTCTGACAGAACCGAAGAAGCAGCTGAGAAACGTCTTCAACCAAACTCACTTTTGTCCAGTCGACAAACTGAATTTTCTCCTCGACAAAAGAGAAACAGCAACTATTTGTCCTTTTTCCTCAGTAGAAACACCTCCTCCTTCTTCCTCCTCCTGTTTCCTCTTCACTCTAGAAATCGAGTCGAGTAAACGGCATCTTGTGTTTGTGGAACGTGTGAGAGGTGAACATAAACCACGTAATCCCAGCGCGCAGGTGAGTCAGCGATGCCAGGAAAAAAAACAAAAAAAAAAAACAGTTTGATTGTCCACGTTTACATGATGTTTGTTTATTCTGATTGTTCTAAAATTCAGATCTTCTCCTTGTAGTTTCCATGTAAATAATAAAGTTGAATTGGGTTCTGACTGGACAGAGACGCCAACGAATTTACGAAAAACACGAAAAAGAAAACACACACTTCATCTGCTCCCGACTTTTCTGAACCATCAACATTATTAGAAAAAACGACAAACAGGATCCAGGAACCAAATTCATTCAGCTTTAAAATCAAAATAAACCAAACACTTACTTCACGATTAAGTTTAATTCTGAATAATCATTCTAGTTTCACGTGTTTACATGAATGTTTTTAAAAGCGGAATTCATTTTGATTCAGGATTAAATGATTTTTATTTCAAGTAAACCTGGGAAATGACAATCAAACTTATCTGGTCCTTCCACGTTCGCAGTTATTGGATTTTTATTCTTTTCTTTTCTTTTTTTTTTTGTCATAATTCCACGGCTGCTGCGTCTCGACAATGATATTTTGAACTTTCACTGACAATTTGAAACTAAAAATAATCCTCCATAAACGTTTAAATCTTCTGTGTGAGGATCAGAAAGAGAGAGAGAAAAAAGTGAAAACAACTGTCCCAAAACTGTCACAGCACACAGCAGGGGGCGCTACACACGTCCTCCACAGGCCTGGTCCAGTCCTGGTCCAGTCCTGGTCCAGTCCTGGTCCAGTCCTGGTCCAGTCCTGGGTCTGAGTTCAGTCCCAGTGCAGAAGCTTCCAGAACATTCAACAGTTTTTCCTCCTCAGTCCTGGTCTAGACTCAGGTTTAGTCCCACTTTAGCTCTTGCTTTGTCCTGGTTCAGTCCTGGTTTAGTCCTGGTTTAGTCCTGGTTTAGTCCTGGTTTAGACCTGGTTTAGACCTGGTTTAGTCCTGGTTTAGACCTGGTTTAGACCTGGTTTAGACCTGGTTTAGACCTGGTTTAGATCTGGTTTAGACCTGGTTTTTGGTTTAGATCTGGTTTAGACCTGGTTTAGACCTGGTTTAGATCTGGTTTAGATCTGGTTTAGATCTGGTTTAGACCTGGTTTAGACCTGGTTTAGACCTGGTTTAGATCTGATTTAGTCCTGGT